TGTGAATACATGCAGCAGCTCCACTCCCCTTTCGAGACAAAACATGGTGCAGATCTGTACCTTTATGTAATCATGGATATGGGGTATTTTCCATGTCCGACCTTATTTGTAGCTGAGATAAGTCACTTAGCTCTGCAGAACTCAATAGAACATATCACATTTTAAACATTAAAGTGAATAAGTGCAAAAGAATGGCATGAAATAAAGTTGCATAAACTATGTTCATATGTCCACACATGCTTTAAGAACGCTATAAATTTTATTTACTTTTTTTGTATTTTGCTTCTGATTTAGGTAAGGACATTGATTTCTGAATTATTTAAAATATATGGAATGCCAAATTCATTTGGTAGGTTAATATATCCAGGTAGGTTATTGATTAATCTGAACTTGAAAGAAACATCATGAAAATGTTTTATACTGTTCACTTTGTACACTCATTTCCATTGATCCTTCTGATGGTCACCTTGGGCCAATCTCAGGCAGTTTGTACAGCTTCTGGTCACTATCCAAAACATTGTTTTTTATTTTTTTTTTAATTATTTCTCTTTGCATCCAATGTAAGGTTCTCTCTCACACCCTCTCTCACATACCGTGCTGTTTCTGGACCCTTGCTGTCTGGATACAGAGGTAAGGAGCATAGTAAACATGACTCCATAACCTCACAGCCAGAGTCCTGTGTGAGGTCAGGTATCTGATTTTTGGTGCTTTATTGTGGGCTAATACTGGCGGCATTTGGGGACATTTTAAGGACTTGTGGTTCCTACTTATCATTAGCCTGTGTTACATATTCTTTGGATGACTGATTTAAGCTTCCTTTCAGCTCCTACCTTCTGTGCAAAATTTCTATGGCTGCAACCTCTTAACCTATGGGAAATTCATGCAGTTTTGCCTCGTTGACAGGGAGGAACTGCATTTTTTTTCCAGCTCTTGAGCTTTATCTCTGTCTGCCATTTCAGACCAGTTGGTCAGCCCTCCAACAACAGAGCTCCCTCAGAAAAGAAGGCAGTGAAACATCTAACAGGTCCCAAGGATCTGCTTTGTGATTTAGATACTAGCCTTCCTTCCTCTGGGAAATCATAATTTATCTCAATAGACAGGTGATAGATAGATGATGATAGATAGATAGATAGATAGATAGATGATAGATAGATGATAAAGATAGGTAGATGATAGATATATGGATAGATAGACAATAGATGATAGGTAGGTAGATAGATGAAAGTCAGACATAATTAGAAATATAAAAAGCCACATACTCCTTTTCTCCATTTATTTCTCTAGTTAGTCTCCCGGCCTTTGCTATTTAATGTCATTTTACATCATATAAAAGAACATGAAGCTACCCTGGAGGTTTGAGTAGCCTTATAAGTCTAACAATGAATTTACCACTAAGTTTTGTATTATAAACAGGAAACAGAATTTTCATGCATCACCCATGTTTTCATATTCATCACACATCATGGGAACTTATTCAAATGAGAAGTTCCACGGCTTTTATGATAGGACCAGTTTTCACTGAACAGCTTAACGTCATTATCTTTTTTCCTCCCTGGAGATAATATCAATATGTCCAAACAAGTTAAAATTCCACTCATATAATTACTGGAAACATTTTGAAAAATCTTATCATACCCAAGAACTGCCCAGTGGTTACTTATTTTGAAAAACATATTAATTCTGTATTATTATTTAACAAAATCCAATATGGCTTCTATACATAAGCAAGTAAAACAGATTGGGATTCATCATTATATTGAGAAATATTTATTGAGCCACTTACTATGGGCTACAAACAATTTTAGACAAGAACAAATAACAGGACAGACAACTCCTTACCCTTTAGGGTTTACATTCTAATAAGTGATAAAGACATAACAAGTAAGAAATATCTGTATATATTATGACACCAGGTGGCTACATGGTATGAATAAAAACAAGACAGAGCAGGGGCCACAGTTGAGGACAAGAGCCAGGAAGGCCTTTGGGAGGAACTCACAGTTGATCACAGAGCGGAATGAAGGGCAGGAATGAAAGGGAGAAATGTTTGGGGATGGATTGATTCAGGCCTAGAACAGGAAACTGGAAGTGTGAAGAAAATACGGAAACGAGACAGACAGAACAGTCAGAGACGGACAGAACACTCCATGACCTTATATCAGGTCAGAGAGCTGATCTCTATTTCGATGCCGTGGAGCCGATGAGATCACGGAGTTCGAGAAGGAAAAGGGATCTGTGTGTTCCAGCAGAATAACATCAGCCATCATAATGAGACAGTCATTTACTGGTCAGGCACTGCTTGTGCTGGCTGCTGTTTTACTCCTTCATCACAAAAATCATGTGAGCTGGGTAAGGGGACCTTATGCTCCAGATTGCAATCTCAGATCTGGCAGGAAAAGGCAGCTGGACAGAGTTCACAGAGTGATCGAAACAAAAGTGAACTGATTCCTGCTCAGCTCTGGTTGGGCTCAACCACACGTGCTTCGGAAACAGTGTCACTGGCAGTTTCTGATCCCTAAAAAGGACTTCACATATTTTCTTGTTTCAACCCTTAGTAATTGAAGACTTCTACGTAAACCCAGGAGTTAACTAAGGTTGATACTTAAGCACTGCAGGTATTAACGTGAAGCTGTGCTATTTTCATAAATATCTGCATTGATTTCGCCTCTATTAAAATTTACAAAGATGAGATCTTAATGCCTTGTCTTTAGCTTAGGATATAGCCGTGTTCGCACAACACCCATGGGACCACAGAAAAGTTAAGTGTTGTTGAAATATGACCACCACGTATAATTTCCAGGAAATTACAACTTCTATATGAGAATCAGGTATATTACCTTAAAAGGAAACTTTTCAGATTAGCAGAGAGATATTTGCTAGAACTCCTTGTATCCACTTTTCCTATGTACCTGTGGTTAACAATCCTATCATTAACTAAACCAGAATTTATTTTAACACATCCGCTTGGTGCCACGGGACTCAAACCTGAAACTCCGTTAATGCAGATGGACGTTTTATAAAGTGTTCATACAAATTGGTAAGTTGTGCATAAAGCTTTCATCCATGACAGAACCTATTATATCCTCAGAAACCCTATTTCCTTTCTCTCATCTATTCTCCATAGATTGATTTATCTGTTGTTTATCATACTTTCCAGTTCTTCAACCAAGATTACATAGCGCTATTTCTTAAATACAAGGAAAAATCCTTGATGGAATAATTCCTGAAAATATCCCTAACTATACTCTTTCAATTTTTATGTTGATATGATAGAAATACAAATGTTCTCTCAACTCATAAATTTCTATTTTCCTTGAAAGTGTTTCTCTTTTAACATTCTGTTTTGTTTAGTATTCTTACACTTGCCTAAGTAAATAATGAGATGAATGCATAAGGATTTTCTACAGCTTATGACTTCTCACTTACTTCTAATATTTTCCTAAATTGTTGATTTCCAGTCTTGGGCTTTTGTAATGATATCTATGTTGCCAACACAATGGTACCTGAATAATTGATACCAATGAGAAACCTCTCTTCTATTACATGATGTGGAAATACTAGAACCATTCAATTCCTCTGTCTTCAGCTAAAAATTACTCAAGAAATTTTATTTAATCACATATGGTCAAATTGGTTCCATTCATTTTCACATGCTGTTAATAAGAAATGACGATATAAAGCAATTTTGAGGACACTGTATTTGACCCTTTTTTTCTGTTCAATCTATGAGTTTTGAATTCCATCTTCATTTGGAAAGAGTAATAAGGATCATTCTTAAAATGTTCATTAAATTTAAAGTGTTTTCTTACCTTATTCTCTGATGTTATCAGAAAGCTTGTTATCCAGATGTTACCGTGGATTTAGCCATACCCAGCAGCTTACCATACTTCCTTCATAATGTTATAATAAAGGTAACTATCGCTTATTTATTATTAAAATTATTACAATTTTATATTCTAAAATAAAAATATGACACTGAAGAACCAGTTATAGTCTAAGCTCTTAATAGAAAAGGAATGCTGAGAATCTTATCATGTTTTATTCTATGCATGGTGAGAATCAGTACAGTTGATCATAATATTTTGGATGAATATTAATTCAACTTTGAATCAAATACTCCTTTCAGTTCTTGCTATCATTTTTAGTAGAGATAAAAATGTACTGAAAAATTTTTCACACTTTCCACGGTTATAATAAAGTTTAAATTGGATGTTGAGTAAACACTGACATATTTTGTTATTGCATTGTGACATGCTAAAGATCTATTTTGGTTACATATAAAAATAACTTATAAAAAGGTCCCAAACATTTTTAATGCCCCCTTTTTTATACAAATCTGTAATATCAAAGACAATACAACACAAATCTACACTGTGTCTTTGATTAACTAACATACCAAGTGTCTGTCTAAATCTGAGATCAATTTTCATGTGCGGTATTCACAATGAGTTTGATTCTATGATGCAAACTACTGTGCATCATAGAATCTCAGTCAGAAACTTGCATATTCATAAAAAAGAAAGTTTTTTAAAATTTTATATAATCACCCAGATTTTCCTAAGTGTTTAAGTTTATCTCCATATACCCATATAGCATTGGAACTTAAAACACATAAACACTTTACTCTCGTTAGGTAAGGATTTAAAAAAAAAATTGGATAAATGAACTAATATTAAGTTGATGTAGTACAGGCCCTTTCTCATAATAAACATTCAAAAATGTTGAGAATTTGCATTGGATGGTAGTGAAAAAAATGCTAGAGGAATATTTCAGTTACACGTACCAGAGAGCTGATTGTTAACATCACCCTATATCTGCATTCACTACAGCTTGCGGGTAGCTTGAAATAACCGAGGGGTATTTACTCCAAGGAAATCAGAAGATGCTATATATGTATATATATTCCCTACCCCCCCCCAGATAATACAACTCTACCAAGTGACTACCAGTGTGCCCAAACACATATTAGCACTTAAAAACATTTTAATAATACAAGAGCCCTAATTATTTGACTGCGTACCAGAACCAAACATGCATGCTAATCTTTTAAAGCGAGGTCCCAACTCATTAAGGTAATCATAATATTCATCCAGATCAGAGGCTGCGGAGCCCAAGGAGCTCAGGGATCCAGCTAAGGACCCTGTTCCCTCAAAAGCGTAGGTCTGGAGGGAGTCAAAAGGAGGGGCGCAAGGATCAGTATTCGCCTCCTCGAGCTTTTCTAGAATGAATTTCCTGAAAATGGCACTGTCTGGGCCGACCTGTAAAGACTGCCTGTACAGGCTTCTGATCTCTGCAGTCGCGGTTTTCCGGGTCTTTCGTTCCCGCATGAGGGTGCTGTTTCTCAGCTCTACGATATCAAAAGCCTCTGTATCTTCTTCTCCTCCCCCTTCATCGTCATATCTGAATATATTCTCTCTGAAATCTTCACCTTTCTCAGGAAACAGAGTCTGTTTTCTTCTCTGTTTTAGGCCTACGATCAAAAAAATAAACCCTAACAAAGAAAGAGAGCATACCAGAGTACGAATTAACATATAAGCATTAATATAACTATATATCATAGTATAATATGTTAATATATAATTTATATTTATAAGTTTGTACTTATAGATTATATATCATTTAATATATTGTTTATAATAAACTTTACAATCCTCGCTTTGGTGATAAGGTCAAGACATGAGCTTAGATTTTATCATTATAAGACAAAAGAAACAAACAGTGATGCTTGAACAATGCAGGCGTAGGGGGCCTCCTCCCCTGGGCAGTGGAATATCCCCATGTAACTTCTGACTCCCCCAAAGCTTAACTACAGTATTTGCCTTGGAAATTTACAACAGGGGCCGGCAAAAGACATGAGGCAGTATAAGAATCTTTCTGGAAGAGGCTGCAGGCTAGAAAAATATCATAAAACAGAGCAAACTATTTTTTGATGATGATTTAAAATTTTACTTTTTATACATGGAAAACTAAAAGAAAAGTAGCGGAAGGAACATTTTCTAACCTACATGCATTGGTCAATTTTCGTAACCAATAATCATATAAAGAGACGTTACGTACAAGACAAAAGTTTGAAATTCTCCACTAAGGCAAATTCTGCAGCATAATTATTTTCTGAGTTAATATTTACTGACTAGAAAGTACATGCCACCAAATAGTTGGTTTACTACCTGCGCTCTGTGACACCACATTCATTTCAGAAATCCCAAATTATCATTTAAAAAAATAAAAAAACTGAGATGTCCACAATCAATGTTCATTACTAAGATAATTTTAACATCATGTAGAAATAGAACAATTTCAGAATGCCTTTTTTATAATTTTAGAAAAAAACTGTGTGTGTGTGTGTGTGTGTGTGTGTGTGTCAAAACTAGCCAAACCTTTCATAGACTTGGATGTATTCAGGATTTTATCTATAAGAATTGAAACAAAGATGAAGTGATGTTATTAATATTATCATAAAGAGAAATACATTGGGCAATACTTTATATAAATCTTACATTAAAAAATTGAAACAGTGTTCTTGAAGTAAGGTCATTGGGTTTGAATCCAAGTACTATTAAAACTCAGCTCAGATATATGGTTGTTATAGAAAGGGAGCTAATAAATAATTTTTCAATCTATGAATTGGAGAGAGTATTCACAAAACTTTTCAAAGGAAACTACTGACTATTGGTTGACCCATATTTCTAACCCTCTAATATTACTCATGCCCTTGACTGTGAGGCTGCCCTTGATTTCCTCATAGGGTTTTGAGACTTGGTTTAGGTCTGTACCTGTGTGTGTATCAGTACTTGCCATCCTCCAAACACTACACTGCACTTGATTCTGATACCTGGCTCTGTAAATCTCAGCTCAGTGCTATGATCAAAGACCATTAAAAATTATTGTAAAGACTGAGGCTGGGTAGGAAAGTATGGTAATTTGGATGGTAAAGAGAAAGAGAAAGAAAGGCATGATTTTTGAAGCTTTGAGAAAAATGAGCAGAGTGAAGGCCAAGCAAGCTCTGAAACACAGATGTCATTGTGAGCTGTGAGATTACAGACCCAGTGGCTTACAGACCCAGTGGCTGATGTGATTGCTCCCACCACTCAATAAAGTTGTGTTGACCTGTGACACGAAGTTACAAGGGAAGTAAGAGAGGGTTTAGATTATATATACTGGTATGTGAAAGAAAGAGAAAAGGTTTTGCCAAATGAATTCTTTTTATTCTTGAAAAGGCTGACAAAAACATTTTGGGGTCCATTTGTCTCACCTGTAAAATGAGTATAACTTAACTGCTTGTGAAAACAACAGCAAACAAACCAAAAAAAGGAGCTATTTTATTGAAATTTATTCCGCATTTAGCACTTTGATCAAGTAAAACCCTCCCTATGCATCCCTCCAGGCTAACATTTACTTTCTTTCTTAATGGTCATAGGACCCTAGGGAATTGCTGTACAGGTTGAATGGAATTGTGCAGAGTTACAAAATTTCAGCACATCATGTGCCAGCTGCAGGACCCTTTGCAAAGTACTTAATGCTTTGAGTTTCACTTTCCTCGCCCATAAATGCAGGTGATAAAAGTTCTACTTCGTAAGGTTATTGTGAGGATCAAATCACATGTTGCATGGAAAGCACCCAGGACAACTCCTGGAGTGTAATAAGCACTCCCCAGAAGGTCACCATTATTATTACCAATTGTTATATAACTCTATATGCCGAAATGCATACTGACAAAAACATTCCTAAACAGATGTGCACACACATGCTGACACACTCATAGAATTCAAGGGTCATTGATTTTCATCTTGAAATCCATAACTACTCTTTTTTTTTAATTTACTCCAGTGCTTGAAGAATCACAACACATTCAGAAGAGCAATTAAATGCACGCACACACACACACACACACACACACACACTCACACACGCAAACCCATACTGTACTGCAATAATGGATTTAACTATTTTTTATATTTATTATTTTCAATAAATGAGGATAGGTTCAGTGCAGCACTACTTACCAAATATTATCATAATGCTTATTAAAATAGCAAGTATGACTTCTGTTCTGAACCCCATGGAAAGCATACGGTCTTTATTCCTGCAAGTGTGTGTACTTCCATAGTCATCACAGTCACAGACGTGTATGGTGAGGGTGTTGGTACTTGTAAGTGATGGCATTCCATTGTCAGCGATTAGGACCGATAAATAGAAGACAGGCTCTTCTTGAAGGCTAAAACCAGTTCTATTAGTCAAAATTACAGCTGTGTTATCTAAAACAGAAATCCGTGTGCATAATTTTTCAATAACACAAAAGAAATTCACACCAGTCGCATGTTTTAGAAGCAATGGTATAGATATGTCAAATAAGTTTAAAACATAAAAAGGAAATTTCTGATAGAAAGACAAAAGATCCACTCAAAAAGTCATTATTGATTTGCCTTTGCCCTAACCCTAATTACATAATTAGGTGAATTACACCAATCAATTCCTAAACGTCTTTGATAAAGGTAGAAAGCATAAATGTGGAACACAGAAAATAAAACAGCCTTTTAATGAGATATCAATATTTTCTAGGGGTGACTAGCATTAAACTTATGTTGACAGTGTCAGTTTCATTTGGGTTATTTACTCACGACGCAGGTCTTTTTTAGTAGAAAAGTCATTGCTACAAGTACTAACGATACATAAGATTTTCAAAGTCATTTACCAATTTCACAGCAAGTGGTCTCAAATCACATATTTACTAATGAGACAAAGGATTAGTTTTACTCAGTAGGAGAAATTCTATTGGGATGTTTCATTTCACTTTGACATTATTAACCCATTTTCTATTTAAAATTCAGGTAGTAGTTAAACCTTAGTAGCACCAATCACTCATTTAGATAGAATATTTTTAAAAACTTTAACAAAGATGAACAATATATACTTCAATGTTTTTTAAGTTGTTTTTCCCTGAATACCAAAATATTCTAAGTAATCTTTTTTGGTGCAGTCTTGTGCCTGTGTACTATATTTCATCCCTTTTCTTAGATTGCCATCCCCCTAAATATTTTCTGTAGCAATGAATCCTTAGAAGACACAATCAGGAAAATCCAAATAAAGGGAAGTCTCTCAAAATGTGTGCTTGCTAATGACTTTTCCCAAATCACCTTTTTAAAATGAATTCTCTATCATGTGCTTGGAACCTATAAAACTTTTGCAATTTTATTTATTTACTAGGCAGATTGGAAAGGTAAGAAAGTTTACATTTTTCCATATATATTTTATTAGATTACTTGCAGTCACAAACATCGAATCAATTTTCTTCATGTTTTGATATGCTTATTTTTCCTCAGTGACTTGTTTTATATTAATGTAAATAAATCTAAGCTAAAACTTATTTCTTATATTGATATTTGCATTTTTTATCCTAAGTGGATTTGAGTTTTCTTCACTGGAGAATTTGACAAGGAGAAAAGGAAGAGAACATGTCTGCATTTATTCTCCCATGAAAGATGTCCCCCAGGGGTGCTTGGGTGGCTCAGTCGGTTGAGCACCGGGGTCTCGATTTTGGCTCAGGTCATGATCTCATGATGCGTGGGATCAAGCCTCATGTTGGGCTCTGCACTGGCAGCATGGAGCCTGTTTGGGATTCTCTCTCTGCCCCTCCCCAGCTCATGCTCATTCTTTCTTTCTCTCTCAAAATAAATGAATAAACATTTTTTTTTAATTAAAAAAAAGGTGTCCCCTAGATCAAAGCTTAAACTCAGTTGTAAGAAAAGACAGGTACAGGTATTTGGTTATGAATGTTTGTGTAATAAATCCTATGGTGTTTTCTATCTTTAAGATATAAAGTAAAATTAAAATAGAAGTCCATATGATGACTTGAAAATCTTTTACTGAAGTGAAGGAAAAAAGAACAGAACAGCCTTATACAAAGTCAGTCCACTTTGTATCTGTATGGAAGGATAAAATATTTTGTCTTTCCACACAAAACCCTTTGGAACATTGTGTCCTTCGACTGATATAATCACTCCATTTTGAAGGAAAGGGAATAATCTTAAGCCAGTTTTATATATTTAAAGCTTCTAATTAATGACTCCAAATATCTGTGAATCAATCAAGCTAACATGACTGTTAAGTATATATCATTTTCTTCCCCAGGCATAGATTTGAAGTTTGAGTTATACAAGGACATGAAAGGAGCCATTGTGTCAGAATTGCAATTATATTTGCAGGGTCATTCAGATTTTGCAAGGTCTTATAGCCACTGATGACTAGACAAAGGGTTTTTAATTTAAAGGAATCCAACAAGAAATGGGGTTACGATTCAGAACTCAACTTTGAGGTTTTTTTTTTTTTTTTTTTACCATTTTCATTGCCACTCCCTGCTCTTTTTCTCAATATTATCATATTGCAAGAACCATATAAAAAAGCAACATTATACATTCACTTAAAATCAAACACATTTCTCAAAGAAAGCTAAAAGACAATTGTGATGAATGGCATTACCTTGATTATCTATGATTGTAAAACTTGAGTTCTTTGTGTCTTCCACAGATAGATTAAAGTAAAAATGGTGATCTTCTATGGATTCATCTCTATCTACTGCACTGATGGTCTGAATTACCTAGAAAAAAATAGAAATATGTTGCTTGCTTTTTGAGTCTGGAAAATAATTACTGTTAGAAAGATTATGATCATTATTAGTATTAGCTTTTATCAAAATTGTTTACCAATTGTTATGGATATTGCAGAAGATAACTCAAACTTGGGGATAATATTAAAATATTTTCTCAAGTTAAAAATAAGTTTACATGTGGGGCACCTCGGTGGCTCAGTTGGTTAAGCGACCGACTTCAGCTCAGGTCGTGATCTCACAGTCCATGAGTTCAAGCCCTGTGTCGGGCTCTGTGCTGACAGCTCAGAGCCTAGAGCCTGGACCCTGCCTCAAATTCTATGTCTCCCTCTCTTTCTCTGCCCCTCTCCTGCTCTCACTCTGTCTCTCTCTTTCAAAAAATAAAACACCAGAAAATTAAGTTTACTTGACCCTTTCAAAAGAGTGTTTTGATACTGCATAATAAATTAACTTGTCTTGATGGGTAAGATGATTTCCATCACACTTGTTTCCATTGAGTTTGTTAGAAGTTCTCAAAGTACCACTGCTATTAAGATTCCCTCCCATATCCCCACCTGATTTCCCCCTTTCTTCCTTTTTTTCTTCTTTTCCCTTTTTTTATCTGAACAATGGCCATTATGATGTGTTGAAGTTATATATTCCCTGCTCATTTGAGAGCATAGCTGTGGTAAACTTATTGTCTCACTAAAGTATTAGCTAAACTAACGAGTTCTTAAATTGATTTGAGGAAATAATGCAGTTAGAGCTTATGGGCAAAGTATGTGATTTCCTTTGACCCATAAAAATTAGAGCAAAAGTGTTCCCCATCAAACAAATTTCTATTTCAGATCATAAAAAAAGTGAAGTAGTGCAGTTATAAACACATCAGTTCACAGTTAATTCTTTTTTTCAAGACATGAATGTGTCAGTCAGCAGTTCATTATTGTCAAAAAAGAGATGTGCTGTCAAGATCACATAGTGAGACTGTGATTAATTCTGGAAATTAAAGTAAATTGATTATTGAAGTTATTGTTTTGCATTTTCTAGAATTAAAGTGCTTTTAACCATGTGTCAAACAAAATATCTTTAGTTGCAAGATGACAGACCCAAATTTGATAACGTTATACTTCAAAGAATAGATATATCTCCACATGCTTAAAGAGCCTTGTAAAACCATTGTAATTTGGACATTATTACTGTATTTCTTGATTTATCTTTTTCCTTGTAACACATTCCTAATCAAATCATAATTGTATAGTGTTAAACAATGCAATGAAACATAGCTCCATTCAATCCATGCCTGCAGTAATAAATGTGCATTGTGTTAGGGTGATGCTTTTATTTTGGATTATAATAGCCAGGGTAAAGGGAGGGGGAACTTGAAACACTGATATGTTGAACCCTGGCTTTGCCACTTAATAGATTTTTATGCTTAAAAAATGGAGATACTAATACCTAACTTGTAGGATTAATTTTTAGAACTATATGTCAGAGAGGCACCTAGGTGGCTCAGTTCATTGAGCATCCAACTTCGGCTCAGGTCATGATCTCATTGCTCGTGAGTTCGAGCTCCGTGTTGGGCTCTGTGCTGACAGCTCAGAGCCTGGAGCCTGTTTCGGATTCTGTGTCTCTCTCTGCCCCTCCCCCATTCTCACTCTGTCTCCTTCTCTCTCTCAAAAATAAACATTAAAAAAAAATTAGAATTATACATCATAGCTTTTCAAGGTGCTTTTTGCACAGTCAGTACATGTTTATATGTGCTTTCTTCATGAAGACATAGTCTTATTGGGATTTGCACGGATAAGATGGCAGCCTGTGGAATGCTGGCTGTAATCTCATTATGTGCATATTTGTTTAATTAAGATTGATAGCAAACTGCAAAGATTCATGTTCATCTTGTTGCCATATGCAGGCTTGATTTTTAGACAAGGAATAATTTATCTCACTAACTGGTTCTCTGTATTAAATACATGCATCAGGGACATCTGGGTGGCTCAGTCAGTTAAACGTCTGGCTTTGGCTCAGGTCATGATCTTGTGGTTCGTGGGTTTGAGCCCTGCGTGGGGCTCTGTGCTGACAGCTCAGAGCCTGGAGCCTGTCTTCCAATTCTGTGTCTCCCTCTCTCTCTGACCCTCCCCTGCTCATGCTGTCTCTGTCTCTCTCTCAAAAATAAATAAAACATTTTAAAAAATTTAAATACATGCATCAGACTAAATGTTGAATATGTTTCCTTTTTGTGTATGAATGTTGAAGAACACTGGTGAGATATTCACTTTGTATGTATTTTTAAATAATTTTAATTAATTAAACTACTCTACATATGTATAGGTAAGCTGAATATGCATAGGTTTCACCACTCTGGTCCCCCCCCCCTTTTTTTTATGTTTACTCTTGAGAGAGAAGGAGACAGAGTACAAGTGGTGGAAATTCAGAGAGAGAGAGACACATTTTTTAAAGTTCTACTTTCTTAGCCAAATTATAGTTTTATCAGCCATAGCCACCATGTTATACATTCGGTCCTTAGATTTTATTCACCTTATAAAATTTATACTCTTTTACCAATCTCTTCCCATATCCCACACCCCCAGGACCCTGGCAACCATTTTCTATCCTAACCCCCTCCCCTCCCCTCCGCAGAACACATTATTCAAGCCCTAGACCTGTTCTTGTTTGTGAAGTTTGCAAAAAAAACACTGTAAAGGATACAGTGAATACAAGAAGCAAACAAAACCAGGTCTCATACAAGACAGAGACATGCAGAGAAATAAGTAATATAATTCCTATAGAATAGACAGACACCAAAAATAATGGTTGAGAAAAAAAGAAGAAAGTAATCTGAGTATTAAAGTAGGAGAAAGAAAATGATTTTCCAAAGTGGAAGGGAGCAAATGAGCTAATACTTGGGTAAAAAATTATGAATTAGCCAGGCAAGTGTGATCCAGACAAAAAAATGCTATGTGAAAACCATGAATGCAGAGAAATAACATATTACTAGGTAGAAATGAAAGAAATTTGGATTTTTAGGTCAAAGATAAACATTAGCAGTTTCATAAGTTTTCATTTAATCATTTTATGGAACTACAAATGGTATTTGACTTTAAAGATAATCATGGGAAAATGTAATCAGTGTGCCTGTCCATTACTATGACTTCTTTTTCTAAAAAAAAAAAAAAAGCGGGGGGGAGGCACTGGTGGCTCTGTCTGTTAAGTGCCCGACTTTGGCTCAGGTCATGATCTCACAGCTCGTGGGTTCATGCCCTGTGCCTGGCTCTGTGCTGACAGCTAGTTCAGAGTCTGGAACCTGCTACTGATTCTGTCTCCCTCTCTCTGTGACCCTCCCCTGCTCACGTTGTCTCTCTCTCAGAAAGAAATAAAACATTAAAAAAAAAAAAAAAAAGGAGGCACACTGGGCCAATTTACTAAAATGCCATTCCTAGATAACTTTTCTGATTTAAAAATATCAGTACAACATTCATTTTCACACAAAATGTATGTATGGCCTTTTTTAAACATGTAATTTTTTGATAGCTAGGCAAAGAAGCAAATATTATACATGGATTTGGAGCAAACAGTTAATATATTTGAGTCTGTTTCTTTATCTGAACAGTAGATATCAATGAAGTCTACTTATAGGATTTGCTGAGTAATTTTAGATATCAATGAAGTCTACTTATAGGATTTGCTGAGGAATTTCAAATAAGATTACAAACTATGAGTTAAACAATGAATTACAATCAAAATGCAGGTATTGATTATTAATTGATATAAATCATGAATTCTTTGGAATGTGTTTAATATCAATTTCTATTAATACAAACACATTAAACAAAAAGTGAGACCTGCAAAAAATGAATACAAGAAGGATGTTTTAAATTTCAACTAAATTGCTGCTTATTTAGTTATTTTAGGTATATTTTTATTTATAGCTTGCATCAAGCTATAAACGCAAATTCTTTCTCCCATTGTCAAGAGGTACAGTCAACAAATTTGAGTCAGACTGTTACTTTTTATGCCACTCCACTGAGAACATGATTACAAATTAGACTTGTTTTGAGAAAATAAAGGATTCAAAACTGTCATTGAGAATCTGTTCAAAAGGCCAAAGTATTAATTAATACAATACTAGAATTAGTGCTAACAAGAAAATCTAGTCTATAGTCTCTGTTTTCTTTCTTTGTTTAGCATGTTATTAGGAGAAAAGTGTTGAAAAATCCATAATATTCTAATGTTTTGGTCCTGGACAAAGATAGAGATACTCAAGTCTTCTAAAAAGCACTTTTCACAAAATTGTATGTATTTAAATGTCACAGATATATACTGTTTTGACATTTACTTATAGATATCTTCTTATATTCATTTAACAATTTTACTTTCTTAAATTTGTGTCTCGGTATATATATATTTCATTTCTTTTGTTAAGTGATTCTTAAATACATACTTTCTAAAAATTCACATAGCATCATAGTATATAAATTAAAAAATTATAAAAATATCTGACTAATATCCCAAAGACATCCATTTAGCAAATATTTCACTGGCATTTGGAACACGCCAAGCCGTCTGTCACTTCTGTTTACATGTTAGTGGAGAAGAGGGACATAATACTTGAGAAAAAAAGTGCAGAATAAAACACCCAAAGTACATAATACTTAAACATTTGGAGGTCATAAGACTTGGCATCTAACATGAAATTAGAAGATTATACTTCAAAGATGAGCAGTGGTGATGTCATGAATATTGCAGAAGAGCATATTACAAAGTTTGTACTTTTATACTGAGGTCCATTCACAAGTTCTATATTGGAAAACAATGACTTTACTTTTTGGTTAGGATCCCATGGTCCAAATATTGGGAAAATTTCTGCATTTTAGAATGTTCATTCTGAAGACATCTTTAGTGTAGATCTGGAAATAGGGAACCTCGTTAACAAGCTGTTGCCATGACCCAGGGAAACATTTGTTTGTATTCAAAACCTCCTGATGTGATATATAAAGACAACTTCAGCCACAGTT